GAGGAGGGCCGGGGGAAGCGGCGTTAACCTGCCCGCGAGGTCTGCCGTTGCCCACCCCGGGGCGGGTTCCCGAGCGATGGCGTCCCTCGGTCCGGGTCCGTTGGTCGTGCTCTCCCCCCCTTCATCGTGCTTAGCCCGCTTTTTTTCTGTTTCCCCAAGGTTGTCATTCACGTGGTTATTCCCCTGATTTCGCGGGCTAGCAGCCCCAGGTTCTCAGACCCTCTTTGCTTAGAAGCAACCCGCCGTGCTGGTGCTTTCACGTTGACGTTGCTCAAAGAAAGAGGGAGGCAGGGGATGCCACAGGGCATTAGTTCAGTGAGCTAACCTCGGTATCGGGTACGTCATCAGAAGTATTTTCCCTCTTCATCTGCAGGCAGGGATGCAAGCATGAGTACCAGTGTCCTAGCACAGCGCTAAAGTATTAGGTTACAGCGAGCTGGGGCTTAAGCTTACTGTCTCTAAGTGCCTGAGGAACAGATTCTGAGCTAAATGCGATTCGGTTATAAAGACGACTCAAACAATGACCTGTGGGAGTATTTCCTTATAGGTTAGGCTCTGCAGAATTAGGACTAAAGTCTGCGTGGCACCGTCTTTTGGGAGATGTGCACAAAATCAGCTCTGGACAAGGTCATGGAAGAAGGAAGATGCTCGCCCACTGTGGTTTTTTGGTACGTGGGAGTGTTCGCAGTCACAAAACCAGCAAGTTAATGGTGGTCTTAATTATCTTGGGAGGCAGCGAGAGCCACCTGTGCGTCTGTGCCATTCGGCCCCTGCTGCTGTGGTCCGACAGAAGGCTGTGGATGTGAAAACAGAAGAGTTCAAACTGGTCTACAGGTTTCCGGGGATTAAGTACTGCAGGGTGCTCTCCAGACTGAAGCTGTTACAGACTGCCACCACCATGGTCATGCTGCCTCCCATCTGCTACCTCTATCTGCAAGACCAGGTTTCTCAGAATATCCTCATATATACAACTGGCATCGCGGTCTTTGCTGGTGCAATGTTGTATGGTATGAGCTACTTTTTCAGACGAATTATTGGATTCATCTACTTAAATGAAACTGGCCGTACCGTCAGAGTGGCCCACTTGACGTTTTGGGGAAAACGGAATGACATTTACTGTCCCATAGAGGCAGTGATGACTTTGGATGAAGTTGGAGATAGCAAGGAGGAGCTACTTCTCCAGTTCAAACGGTATAATAGTACAGATATTTTATATTTTACAATTAAGTTTGGCCAGATTGTAGACAGACAGAAATTTACTCAAATATTTGGAAAACCTGAGTGATACAGCAGCTAATTTCCAGTGGTTTTCCTTGTTGCATGTTCATTGCGCTTATTCTTCTGTGAAGTTTAATTAGTTTACCAAACTGACATACTTCAGTCATTTTCCTATGCAAAGCCTGTTGGTAAGTGCACTCAGTGTAGAAAGTAGAAATGGTAAAGAACAATCCACTGGATTAAATGTCTTTGCAGCTTGTTTAAGGTGTGAGCAGCATCTCTTCCGTGTCAGATACAGTGATGTGCATAGTGCACTGTCACCAGCAGTTCTCAGTCTAAACTGTCCTACTTGGAACGTGCAGTAGGCGGAATTACTGGTGCTGACCCCGACTGTTTCAGCTGGCCTCTTAGGCTGTTTTGAAACAGGAAAAACTCTGGAAGTGAAGTGCAGTAACTCTGCCAGAGCATCCTCACTTTAAATTCAGTCTTTTAGTGAAATTGAGGTTGACTGGGAAACCTCTTGAAATTGAAACTTGTCTCGTACATACATACGTACATATGATGAATAAGGCTCATGCATTAATGCAATTGAGGTAACTGGAAAGAGCGGTATATAATGCTGTATAAGGAGAGTGGGGTCTCTTGGCATGGTCTTCCAGGATGTGAACGTAACTGGGCAAAACAAGGGTGCATGTTGCCAAGACACGTTGCCAGTTCAGCCTTAAGGGTAAGTTAAAGACTGGGACAGCATTTCGGGAGCCTCTCGTAGAAACTGCTTTCCCATTGGAAAAAAACCACACCTAAACTATGGTGCTGTGAATTACAGGGACAGTCTGTGATCCTTTGTTCAGTTTGGATCCTAATGATCATCTGAAATGTTGGAACTTCTTGTCCTTCTTTGCATATATTCACGTTTGTGGTTTTTTTGTATGTATGAATGATGTTTAATCAATACTGTAACACTTTGAGTTGCAAAAATGTCAGTAAATGTTACGAAAAGTATCTTGGACTATGTGAATCAAGCAGTCTTCTGTGAAGAATAGCATACAGCCTGGGAAACAAGTCATCTGTATCCCTTGATATGTTTCCCGATTTGGGCATATTTTAACATCAAAAGCTCTGTTGCCAAATACCCTTTCCAATCCCTGTTCCCCCAATCTGGGTTTACCTAAAATGAAAAGAAAAAAAGGTAAGACAGACACCTAAAAGCTACGTTGAATTAAGGCTGAAAATATGTGTACTTTGTATTCTGTTGAACTTGCAGGGCTGATCACCCCTGCATCTGTGTCCATGAAGGACAGCGGTCTTATTCTGTGGTGTTGGTATGATTTCTCATTTTCCAAAACCTCAGCAGAAATGAGGAGCAGGATTTAAACTCGAGAAAGAATCAAACCTGATCACTTGTAACATGAAAAACTTTTTGTGAGTTGTCAGAAGCAAGTGAACTCCTTCCACTGCTCTTCTAGCTGTTGCTTCATTTGAAACTGGCAAATAAACTGACCCTCACCAATAGAGAAATTTGGAGTACTCTTTTCTCTCTTTCTTCCTCGCATGTGTTGAAACCTCTGTCTCTTGGTGGCTCAGCAGATGCAGGTAAGTAAAAGTGCCCTTTAAGTGCACAGGCTAACCCTGGTTTACTATTTATTTGTGTTGAACTTTTCCTAATGGCGGCTCCTTTATTTTAAATTTTGGCTGATCCTGTGTGGTACAGCAATATCAAAAGGAAAAGAGAAATGGTCCTTGGCTTAAAGATCATGGCAGCAAAATACACTGTATGCATACACTGTGGTTTTTGGAGGCTGATCTTCATAAGAATATATTTAATATGCACTAATGATTCAGTTTAGGCATGTACTAGGTATAAAATAAAAACCCCTGGAGAAGTTCAATTATAAATATTTTATTTAAGAATATTGATTACACATGAGATGTCATTTGTTATGAATCTGTGTGCAGTTACTAGTTACACCATGAAGTGTATTTAAGTATTTGTTTAAACATTTATTTGGCACTGTCCACAGTATGCTGTAAACAATATTAACTTTATATGCTTCAGCTGCAGTGCTTTCTATGTATTCTCTAACATGATTTCATCAACATGTACACAATTATACAGTTACTGAGTGTCAGTAAAAATTATAAAAACACCTAGAGTATTCATAATAAAAGTGAAGATGTGGTAAGACTTCAAATTACTGGACCTTTGCTTCTGTAAAAGTACAAGACTTGCTAGAGACATTTACTAAAACTACTGCACTGATATGTCGAACAAACTAATTCCAAAAATGCTGTCAAATACAGTTCTTGGTTTGACTTTCTTCTTGCTGATAATATGCTTACAAGGACAGTGATGACAATGAGGTTTTGTTGACCACCAATTTACCAGCCCTTCCCCCAGATTTCTACAACCTCTGTTCAAAAACCTGCTCAGGTTCTGACCAGCTGGTACCAGAATTCTGGTTTCTGCAGAGAGGCCTACAGAAATCCCATTATTTTGAAGCTAGCAGAAGTGAGTGTACTTGAGTTTCCCAATACCAGCACTCAAAAAATAAAATGGGAAAACCATGATCAACACTTCTCAAAGCAGGTAAGAAGCCTTTCATATTTTGGTAGCCGTATTAAACAAGTGAATCTTTTAACTCCTCTGTCTCTTATTATGTACTTAAGAATTGTGGTCAGATCTTAATAGGGCAACTATAAAGTCTACTGTGGTCCTTGTTTTTTGGTGCACAACATGATGTTAAACTTAGCAAAATCCAGATGCTTGCTAGCCAAGAAGAAAAAAAAAAAGGCACCAGACCTAGTTCAAGTCAGCCTTAAGCAAAGAGTACATAGTGAAGAGACTTCCAAACTAATTCTTTGAAGAGAAACAAATTAATGAACTGTTGATGCTTTTTGATCCCTGTGGCTTTCTAGAAGACCTCTGAAGTATCAATGACTTAGAATAAACTATTAGAACAAAAATAGAATTACTTTGCATTATAAATGTGCAATTAGGACTAGGCCTTCACTGTAGTGGCTCTGATGTCAGGGAATGGCTAAGATCAAGCAGTTTTGTGGTAGTTTTACAAAATACCTCAAGTATTCATGTAGAACTTGTAATAGATAAATGAATGGCTATTGTGTGTTATGGGCAAACAGTAAGATAATCTCAAATCATTCTAGATTGCTGACAGAGGTGGCCATAATGTCCTTCACATGATTCTGCAAGCTTTGTCAAATTACATACTTCAGGGTATAGTTTTCTCTGTACAAGTCTGATTGTAAGAGAAGTCAAAAGTTTTAAAATCCAGGATGAGGAAAAAAGTACTTCATTTCCACTTACAGCGCTGCACATGTGGCTGAATGCATTAGTGCCTCTGAAGCAGTATGTGTAGGCTGAAGGCTGGGCACAGAGTAGCTGATGGCATCCTGATCCAGTTGGTGTGGCAGATGTCTGTATTCAGGGGAATAAAGCTGGAAATTACTCTGTAAAATACTGTACTTGGCAGTGGTGGAAAGCAGAGCTTTCCTTGAAACACCGATTTTATTCCAGCTACCATTAGAGAATGGCACTTTCTGTATGACAGGCATGTGGCTTTTAAGTGTTACGCCATACTTGTTGCTGCTTCTGGACACAAGAGTAAATCTACTGGGATTACCCGTGAAAACGGACTGTACCAGGTCGTATTTAGACAATCAGATAGGGCCGTGAATGTAGAGAGGACGGCAATTAGTATGACCCAAGCCAGAAGGTGGAGGGCCACAGCTTCTACAAATGCACAGTGCGGGACAGTTGCATGTACCTTCTGGTGACCAGTACCAACGCTCTGCCTGGATCGAGATTGCATGGAGCAGCTTGCCTTGGGCAGGATTACAGACAGAACACAAACCTTAGTTTATGACTTTACACTTATCTTGTAAGTAGAGAAGACATGAATTAATGCAAACTAATTTCATAATCAGCGGTTCAGTGCGAGGGAACTGCTTTTTACTTGAAGTTTGCTAAGATGTCACTGAAAATGTTCAGAAAGAGGTGCGCATGATGATCCTTGAAGATCAGTGTTGGACGAAAACGAATTGATCTGTCGCCACAGCCTCCCAGCACAACACCTAAAACAAGAACAGAAGAGGTCCTCTAGTCATTTCCATCTTCGCCAAATATTGAGAAGATGCAAATCTCTGAATGAGGTTCACCTCACTGTGGAGGGCCAACAAGCTCCCCAAATCACTGCTAACCACACAATGATACAGCACCCAGTCAGTGGTGCAAAGGGGCCTCAAGCTTCCCAGCAACTCAGAAGAACACTGCGGGTGCCTGTAGCGGTTCTGTAAAACACTTGGGAGTGTTGGGAATAATCCCAACCTCAGTGGAAAGACTCCATCCAGCACAGAGCTCAAACAGCATCTGACACTTCAAAGTGCAATACTCCACTGGTTAAGTACCTCAATGCCAGAACAAGACACAGTAGGTTTCTTTGCAATTTTGTTTTTAAACTACTTTTAGTTTTTAATTACGAGAAGTTAAAAATCAATTAATTCTTTGAAACGTTTGTGGGCAACGAAAATCCATACCATGGAGCTGAGCTTACCTTGCCTATAAGAATAGCCTTGGTTTACCATGAAACAAACAGCTTGCTTTCTCTCCCTGCTGGCTTAGTTTCCAAGAACAAAAAAATACCAGTCTTTTACACTCTAAAATTTTGGCTTCACAATAGTTTAGATGCATCATGCCTGGTTCTTTCAAGAGATATAAGTAAGAGCAAAAACTGACAGCAGCAAACCCAGGACCCACACACAGTTAAATTCAAAGAGAATGTTAGGCTTCAGATCATGAGGTTCCCCTCCTGATACCGGGGCTTCTCTACAGCTGGGTAAGAGTTCTGTAGTAAGAGGGATGTAGTTGTAGATCTGTGCCCATTTTAGGCAACTCATATTTCCTTATTAGGTATTCCATAAACCTCATATTTTTTCTCCCTATGTTTTCGTGAGTGACAGTTACATTAACTTCTAATTTTCCTGATCTATTTCTAGAAGTAAGCCATGCCTAGGTGCACCTAAGGTCACTGCAGAGGAATATGAAAGTGATGTCACAAAACCTCATGCCCTACATAGATCTCTTCCAGCAACATTAGACCTATAGAAAAAGGTAAACATATATACCATGCAATGGACTGGTCCGATGTCTCTGAAAATACAAGTATTTCCAGAAATGTCTAAATACAGCTTTGTTCATAACTTCACTTCTGTCCTCTGATAGTGTAGTACACATATACCATACGAAAAAGAAAAGTTTAAAGCATTACATATGCTACTGTTTGTCATCTGAAGCTAATCCACACACAGAGACTTTCTTACCTTTGTTTCTGGCTATTGTAATTAACTTGTTTCTAGTTGCATCATTTGGAGTGTCAAACGAACAGAACGTTCCTCTTCCTCTCACTCTGCTGATAAGATGGGGGTAACGAGCCTGCAAAGAGAGGTGAGGAAGCATCCATGGTGGCAGCTGCTGTGACAGAGGGCACCTGGTGGCAAGCTCTGCTCTGCCAGGCACTCTGCCACATGGAAACCCTGCTGCCTCCTCCGTTCCAGTGGAGTGGAGCTACTGCACAGGCTGGGTTTCTCACGAAACCTCGTGTCCTGTTCGCCCCTTTCTGACAAAGGTCTGAAAGCCATAGACTGCAGAGCCCAACAGCAGGCAGGTTCTCTCCTCGCAAAGCAGATGAACATCTGAGCAGGAAGCGAGAATGAATTTGCACCCCTGAGCTGGGTAAGGTAAAATCTTACTTCGAGCCTCCTGAAGCGAGCGTAAAGCACCTTGCATCTGAAACACACTCCAGGAAAACGTGAGCATAAATAATCTGGAATGGGGCTAAGAAACCAGCTCATTCTTATCCTGCACTAAGACACTTGCTAGTAGTATCTGCTTCACTTACTATCTGTTACAATCCTCATCTTTTTTAAGAGTAAATTTCTTTAGATAGTACTAGTTGTATTCTGGCCCTCCAAAGTGTGAAGATTATAATTTTTTGTGTAGTCCTGCCTGCTATGCCTTGAAGTTGTGGAGAGAGCAGAGACTGTATTTGGGTTTATCCTGCACAAAATGCCTTTTGAAAGGCAAAAGCTGCAAGCCTACCCTTAAATGCCTATCTGATTTTCCTTCTCATGTGGGGCTGCGTAGTTGAAGCTGTGAGGAATTTCCCTTAGTCAAGGGAGGGAAAGCTACAATTTTCTTGTTTCAACAGCCCAATGGAATTGTAACAAAATATGAAGGCACTTTCCTTTAAAAAGAACTTTTGGGACAATGAAATGCTAGCTGCTTGTGATAACAGACTTCTAGCAAAATAATTTAACTAGCTGCAGTTCATACCTTCAGATATTTGGGGGTAACTCTCTGTTTTGGATTAAGCTATACAAAGTCAGCATTCTTAAGTCAGTAAAAGAAA